CTTTCTTTCTGCTCAAAAGCCCAGCATTGCTATTTTATTTTTTGTACAAATATGGATTTGTACAAGTCTTCTCACCTTGATTCTAACATTCTCATGAGTAGACATTTCAAAAAATGTACCCTAGTTCTACAATGGTTTAGCCCTATATTAAATTGCATATTGTCAGTGTCTGTAGTGTCGTATTCCAACACACAAAAGTAATTTTAAATATTGACATTGTAATTTTGCACTGCTGTCTTTTCAAGCTCTATGTAATCAGAAAAAATTGAAATACATTCCTTACATTACTTCATTCAGGCCCTGAATAAAACAGTGCACAGAACAGGGTCAAAGGAAAAACTCAGTGACATTTCAGAACACACCTAAGGGCTAACAAGCATTAAAGCCCATCATGTAAATGAAGTTCTTCCAAAAATTCAAACTTAGAAATGAGAATACAATTAGTGTCATACTCAGAGACAGTGATCAAAAGCTTACTGAAAAGAAGATAAGCTAAGTCTATGAAATTCACTTTATCTAAGAATAAATTTGTCAAGATTGTTTCCTGGTTATCCCGTTTTTCCAACTGACCAATGCACTTTCCTACTTAAAGTCTGAAACTCATCTAATTTAAAGACCTGAGTATAATTTCTTTTTAAAATCTCCAGAATGCTTTTATTTACTGAAGTCTTCTAGGATATTTCTTCTTCTCTGTATCTCTGAGAGTACCCTTGCCAGTTTTCTCCAAGAGCCTCCAGAAGGCTCACAACTCTGCCAACATCTTGACTTTAACCCAGGGAGACCTATTTTGCACTGCTGACCTTCAGAACTGTACCATAACAAATCTGGGTTGTCTTAAGTTACCAATACTGTGGTAATTTTTTTATAGAAGCAAGAGTAAACTAATACAGATCTGATTTTAAAACATCTTGGCTCAAAATCAAACACCTTTCTTTCTGCTATAGTCCTTTGCTTACCATTTAGATTGACAAGCTGTGTTTTGTGTATTATTGAACCCTCGTGGTAAACTCTAATCTGTCCACCCTTCAAGACTCCTCTTTATATCTTGTTTCATCTATTTCCTGATTCTAACTCAAGCGCCTATACCTTGACTTCTAAAGTTATAGTTCTCATTTATGAGGCCCTCCCATAGATCTAGTCTGCTGTAAATTTAAGATCTAACTTCACCTATTCTAAGAATCTCAGTTTCTTTACTTCTCTTGAATATATAACCATTTCTCTAATGCTTATAAATCACTTAATACCAACTCAAAACAAACTGGAGTAAGCATATATGTAGTAGGTTTTGTAAATTAAGGAATGAAAATCAGTAATATTAAACAGAAAGGTTTGTTTTAATACCATAAATACAAAACCCTCTAAATGACTTGAAGCTTCTTCTATAACTAGATGAACTACAACTCACTTATTAGCCAAAGCACAAAGTGAAATGTTAAAAATGCTTAGATATCAAAAACGTTGTAAAACTAGATTCTACTTAAATTAGGCCTTGATATTAAAATGGGAATTAGGTATAGAGGCAATTCTCAAGAACTATAATTGAACATGGATTACTATATTCTAGTGAACCTACTAACATTAAAGAGGTCATTCACTCACCAAAAAGAAGTCATGCAAAGTTAACCTGATACTCTTTTCAGAGAGGACAATGAAGCTGATGCTCATAAGGAGTCTGGACACAAAGATAAACTAAATTCAACAGAGCTTTCTTTATTAGCTATGTGAATACATTAAAGTTTCAAAAGAAAAGTCAATAGTTTAATTGAAAAATCAATAACCTTGAATTATGCATTATTGGTGGAAATGTAAAAAGGTACAGATAGGTTGGGTGCAGGTGGCTCATGCCTGTAATCCTAGCTACTCGGGAGGCTGAGATCTAAAGATCATGGTTCAACGCCAGTCCGGGCAGGAAAGTCCATGAGACTCTCCAATTAACCACCAAAAAACTGGAAGTGGCACTGTGGCTCAAGTGGTAGAAAATTAGCCTTGAGCTGAATAGCTGAACAGCACCCAGGCCCAGAGTTCAAGCCCCAGGACCAATAAAAAAAAAAAATAGAATCATCATATGATCTAGCCATCCCACTTTTACACACATGAACACACAGAGTAATTCAGAGCAAGATCACAAAGAGATATCTGTACATATATATTCTTCCGTGCATTATTCACAATAGCCAACACAGAAGTCCACTGAGAGATGAATATAGAAGTAAAAAGTGTGTGTGTGTGTTATAGAATACTATGTAGTCTTAAGAAAAAAAGGAAATTCTGTCACCTGCTACAGCATAAAAGAACCATGAAAACATTATACTAAGTAACTAAGCTTATCACAATATGACCAATACTGTTAAGTATCTAAAGGAGTCAAAATCACAGAAATAGAAGGTGGAAAGGTGGTTGCCAAGAGCTAAGAGAAATATGAACTGTGATTAATAGGCATATAACTTCAGTTTTACAAGATTAAAAAGTTCTAGGAATTGACTATAAAACAGTGTTATACTAAAAACTACTTAACTATACACTTAAAATAGTAAAGATGGCAAATTTTTTGCTATGTATTTTACTTTTTATATTGTGGTATATAACAAAAATAAATTTTAGTCATCTCAATTCAAAGATACTGATAAAGTACCAATCTTAGAAATAGCATCCCTCAATAAAAAGCTGAAGGTTAAAAGGGAGAACATATTTAACCTGGAAAAGAAAGAAGTGAAACCTAAAAGAATTAACAAGAAAATTCTTAAAATTATTATATGCTTAGCTGGGGTTAGTTAGTTCATTTGTTCATTCGTCCATTCAGTGAATGTTTATGGAACATAAGCATGTAGAAAACACGCTTCCAGGTTATTTGGATTAGATAAATAAACAAAACAAAATCTACTCTTGTTAAATGTACATCCCAATAGAGAAAAACAAAATAATAATAACAACAACAACAACAGATATGTGAGATTAGCATCCCCTAAGTGGGCCAATTTTCTCTGGGACTCATACTCTTACATAATTCATCCTCCTTTGTGAATAAGCTGGACCTAAAAAATGGAATATAGCCAAAATAATGAAGTGGCACTTCTGGACATTAGGTTTCTGTGTTTTCTGTCTTGTTCACATATTCTCTCAATCTCTTCTGCTCACTTGCTTTGGTGAAGGTAGCTGTCACCTTTTAAGCTGCCCTTTGGAGAGGCAAGGAACTGAAGGCAGCTTCCAGACAACAACTAACACTGAACTGAAGCCCTCAGTCTACCAACCCACAAGGAACCAGACCATGCTAACAACATGACTAGATTTATAAGACTCCACTTCCTGTGGAACCTTTAGGTGATGTAGCCCTGGCCAACATCTTAGTGCCACCTAACAGAGACCCTGAGGCTAGACGATCTACCTAGATTCATTCCTGACAAACTAAAACTATGGTAGTAAACACTATTCTTTTTAGTCACCAAGTATTTCAATTATTATTCTACATAGCAACACATAACTAATATGTTAGAAAGAGGTGCTCAAAGAAAAAGCAAGGTAAACACTGGGGATAGAAATACAGAAGTAACTTCCAATTTTAAGAACTGATATTGTAAAGGCTTGCACATGAACATTAAAAGTAGCACAAGTAATAAAGGTCACAAATTGGAAACAATGTCCTATTTGTCAAGTAGTGAAAAGATAAACAAAATATGGTATATCTATCCAATGAAATACTATTCAGCAATAAAAAAAATACTGGCACATGGGATAACATGAATAGATTCAAACACAGTATGCTGAGAGAAAACTAGACACAAAACACCAAATATTGTATGATTCCAATACATAGAAATCAATATAGACAGAAAGTGACTCAGAGGTTTCCTGGGGTTGTAAATAGGAACAGAATTAACTCTAAATGAGCATGAAACCGTTCTAAATTAGATCATAATAGTGGTTGTTCAAGTTAGAAAATTAACCATCTTTGAATTGTGGGAAGGTGGCTCAGTGATAGAGCGCTTGCCTTGCATGCCTGAGGCCCTTGGTTCGATTCCTCAGCACCACATAAACAAAAAGAAAAAAGCTGGAAGTGGTGCTGTGGCTCAAGTGGTAGAACGCTAGCCTTGAGCTGAAGAGCTAAGGGACAGCACCCAGAGTTCAGGCCCCATGACCGGACCCAAAAAAAAAAAAAAAAAAGACTGGAGGAGCCGGGTGCTGGAGGCTCACACCTGTAATCCTAGCTACTCAGGAGGCTGAGATCTGAGGATCACAGTTCAAAGCCAGCCTGGGCAGGAAACTCTGTGACACTCTTATCTCCAATAAACCACTAGAAAACCAGAAATGGTACTGTGGCTCAAGTGATAGAGCACTTGCCTTGCACTGAAGAGTACAATGTCCCTGCACCCTGCTCCCAGGCTCAGAGTTCAAGCCCCATGACTGACACCAAAAAAAAATAAATAAAAAGATTGGAGGAGTTAACTGAGCATCACTGAAAACCAAAATTTGAAAAAGAGTAAGCTATGAGAATAACTAGGGGAAATCTACCAGACAACAAAAGCGCATGCAAAGACCTTTGAAAAGAAACATACCCGATGCACCCATAGCCTAGCAAGGTGCCAGGTGTGGCTGCAGCTGAATATAAGAGGAAGGCATATGAAGTAATCAAAGCAGAGATGGGTACAGACTGCTGCTGCTGTAATCACACAGGCCCTTTTACTGGAAAAACCCTAGCTTTTACCATGAAAGAATAAAGAAGCTGGGCATGAGTGACTATAATCCTAGCTGCTCAGAAGGCTGAGATCTGGAGGGCAGCAAAAGTTTAAAGCCAACCTGGGCAGAAAAGTCCATGAGATTTTTGTCTCTAAAACAACCAGCAAAAAGTCAAGCTGTAATGTGGCTCAAATGGTAAGGCACCATTTAACCAAAAAAGATGAACAAGTGCAAGGTCCTAAGTTCAAGCCCCAGTGATGCAAAAAAAAAAAAAATCTAGTATTTTATTACAGATGAAGTGGCTTTTCCCCATTCTCATAACACCTTACCCAGTTGTTCTTCTTCCCAGCATAAATTTCCATGTTCTCTCCATACTGAGGCTCTTCCAGTAGTGTTTGGTACTCAAACATGAGGCGTGAGCTCTCACGAAGGCGGCTGCATTGGAACTGGTGATACTGTTGCACAAGTTCCTTTACCACAAGCAATAGGCACTCTGGATTTGCAGGGTTCCAGGAGGCGAGGTTCTGCAGATAAATAAGGACTAGTGAGAAATGATTTTCATGAAAATCCTGAGTCATATTCACATACCCATACAAAAGAATGATAAAAGTCTATGAGCAACAGACTACTGCTGATCAACAATGAGCTCAAAAGACTAAGTTAAAAAGGTTTTGTGATCTTGGTGATTCTTCCTTCTAATATCTAAAATTCCTGCCAAAAAAAAAAAAAAACAACAACAGAGGAGTTCCATCATGAACAGGCAGAGTAGTAACAAAACAAGAAACCTAAGATCTAAGAAGACCATTATTTAGCCCTGGAAGATTGAATTTCTTCTTTATACTTCTATACTTTTACCTTTCATTTCAACCACATATAAATTCAGCATTATATGTCTAATAATTAAAACTCAGATATATATATATATCACCTGCATCTGCAATGCTAAATGTAAATAAATGCCCTATAAATAATAAAACTTCACAGAAATGTAAGCATAAGGGGGTCTGGAAAAAAGTAATGAAATAGAGACAAGTTCAGGAGAGTTGCTGGAAATGAAGAGATCTGATAAGAATACAGTGGCAATCTCAGATCCACTCATTCTACAAACCCTATTATATATCAGCCACTATTCCAGGCAGTGAAAAAAAGCAAGCAAGTCCTTGCTATCAAGAACTTACTTTAATGAGACAAAAATCATACATACATACATACATACATACATATATACATATACACATCAGATATTGCAAATGCTACCAAGAAAAATATAGCATACATAGGCAATGACTGTCAAATGGTGCTGATAAGTAAGCCCACACAGATCACTAGTGTCCTCAACAGGTACTGTTTTAGTAGAGAAAAAAATGATCAGGGTTGGGATTTTATTTGTTTTGTAGTACAGTGAATTAAATTCAGGGACTCATACTTCTTAGACATGTATTCTACTTGAACTATTATCCCTGCCATTTATTATCAGGTTTATGAGATATTGCACAGAAAGAATTACAAACAACAAATTTAATAAAGAAACCAGCGAAGAATGTGGGGGTTGAGGGAAAGTTTGGTATAGATGTTTTTAGCCTGAAGAAATGTTCTGAAAGACAGAGACAGAGACAGAGAGAGACAGAGAATGAATTCATGAAAGGGTTCAGAATAGCAAGACAGAAATAACTGAGTAGGTATAAGGGTCCAGTAGGCAGAAGACACCAAATCTTCAAGAAAGACCAAACAAGTGAACTACAATGGTCAAACTGAATGCCCATGAGAGCAGGCAACGAGCTCCATGTGGTAGTGGGAATTTGCTACAGTTCTCTCCTGGCAATTTATATTTTCTCCATGACATTGGAAGGGCAGTTATCATCTGAGACTGAGGAAGAAGAAAATGAGATTGGAGGTTGGAGACAGAAGCATGAAACAGTCACTTGGAAGACTAAATGAACTGCAGAAATTCTAAAGAAATTCCAGATACAACAAAGGACCAACTGAGGTTGAAGGTATGGTTTTCTTTGTGGTATTGGGGATTGAACTGATAGCCTTAAGCATGCTAAGCAAGCACTCTATCATTTGAGCCAAGTTCCAGCTTCTGGTCATCCCTGGAGGAATAATTCTTAAATGAACTAATTAGCCTACATTTCACTGCACAGTACACAAAGTAGGGGGAATCTGGGCTCAATAAAAAACTGGGGCTTGGTCAAACAAGAACAACTGAAAAAAAGAGGGGCAAGAGATCTTAAAGGATTGGCAAAAGAAAAATGTTGATTATGTCAGGAAAAAGCCAAGTAAATCATGAGGGAGGAAGAGTTAATGAAAAAGTGGTCAGACAATCAACTGTAGCTTATAGTGGGATCAAAGAATTGTTGGGAGTTGAGACAGGACATATATTTGAGTTATATAACAGCACCCAATATAGAAGAGTGATACTGATAGACTGACCATGAGCAGTATACTAAAATCCTCCAGGAACAAGAAGAGGGAGCAGTGGGCCCTAGAGCCTATTGGTGTAAGTTCCCAGTTGAAGGTGGAGAATGGAGAAAAAGAAAGCAACATTTCTTTGAGAACAGCTATGAAGAACAAAGCAACATCTACCCCATTTCAAACACAGAGTCATAAAGGATAGGCAAGAAATCAGCTGTACTTACTTGAGAAGCAACAGAAGAGAAGGTGTGACAAGACAGGACAACTTTCAGAACAGTGTTATCCTTCATAAGTAAGCCATCATAGATATTTAGAGATAGCAATGCCTGGACACTATCTCCTACCCAAGATTCTGACATAACTGTGATAATCATGAGTATGTTTGGGATATTAGATTTTTTTCCCTAAAAGCAAAAAACATGAAGCAAAAACTCAGATATAATAAGTTGGTGGGAAAGATGGTTAGAGGGGAGGGGAGGGATATATCAGGGAATTAAATGATATAAGACTTGTAAATATCTAGAAATATCCAGTCTCTACAAATGTAAATTTTAAGTATCTACAAGTGAAAATACCAATACATAATAAATGTTCAAGAGGTAGCAATTAGCTTGCTGACTAGTATGCACATTCTAAGAACTTTTCATACACTCAGGTTAACAAATATCCAGTCTCTACAAATGTAAAATTTAAGTAGCTACAAGTGAAAATACCCATACATAATACATGTTCAAGAGGTAGCAATTAGCTTGCTGACTAGTATGCACATTCTAAGAACTTTTCATACACTCAAGTTAACCATCATTAGCTCATAATTATCATCCCTTTTAAAGATAAGAAAACTGAAGAAAAGAACAGTTCAGTATCCTAAGGGCACAACCATAAACAATAAAGCTAAGTTTCAAACTCTAGCAAGTTGTCTTCAAGTCCCCACACATTAATACACATTAATACAACTACTAAAGGTAAATTTAAAAAAAGAAACCAAGGAATTTTTTTAAAGAACTATATCAGAAAAACTAAAACATTTCAATTTCACAAAACTTTTAAAAGGTAACAAGGACCCTATTAAACATATGGGTTATATGAACTAAGCTCTAAAATAATTAATATTTACTGTATTAAATGTGAAAATAAAAAAATTTCAAAATAATTCATTTTAGAGTAACATAACATGTTAGCATATTAGTATAAATAACATTTTAATGAAATATGTATTGTTTAAAAACAGAAGTATGCTATTGTTTTTGCATCCTTACAAATTTCTTTAATGTCTGGTTTAATAAGACTTGGATTCTCATATCTGTTTCTGCATAAAATCTGTTGAATACATTGAATATGAACATTGCAATATGTTATTCTGGCTGAAGTATATGAAAAAAAATCCAGCCTTAATCAAACATGCAATTTGAAAACAAGCATATTTTAGTAGTCTTTTCAAATGATCCTGGATATTCTGATTCTACACAAAAACTCAACAAGTGAAACTAGTCATGGTCATACCTGTGTGTAGGCCTAGCTACTTGGGAAGATGAAGCAAAAGGATCACTTAAGGAGCTTGGCATCAGCCCAGGCAACATAACAAAACAAAGCTCAACAAGTAACAACTTCTTGAAGTCTGGTTGCTATGTGGACTAGGCAACCATATTAACAGACATTTCTACTCTTACATTAAGCTCCATTCATCTATCCTGTCCTTTGAATTGATATTTTTATCCATACGTTCTGATCATTTAAAAATACTATTTTATGTACTCATTTACTCAGGTATCTCAATGTTTATTCATTTTACTTATCCAATATTTAAAAATCATTAATTCATTAACATCATTACTAATCTTATAAGAAAAGTGATTTTTAATAGCGTGATGACATCAACCTACAGATAATAAACACAAGTTTTCAAAAATGCTGATTTTCACTTGAAGTCTAGGACTTCATTATTAACTACAAGTACCCAGCTGTTTCCTTAAAATGGTAAGTCATTTATCATTTATCAGAAAAGGTCTAATAAATACCCATGCCTAAATACTCCATCAATCATTCAAGAATGAGTCCAAGAAAAAAGCAGCTAGTTCAGCTTGCAACTCAAACAACATTAATGACTTTCCTGAGAAAACTGTCATCCCTTAGCATCAGAAGTCTTCCATATGCCACCTTAGCCCAGTCAGAATGGCCCACATCTACAAGTCAGCCAACGACAAATGCTGGAGGGGATGCAGAGAAAGAAGAATCCTATTACACTGCTGGTGGGAATGTACACTTATACAACCACTTTGGAAAGCAGTCTGGAGGGGCCTCAGAAAGCTAAGTATTGACTTCCCTTATGACCTAGTCATACCACTTCTAGGCATCTATCCTAAACAACAGGAACCAGTATACAAGGACACATGCACCTCCATGTTTATTGCAGCACTGTTCACAATAGCCATGATATGGAAACAACCCAGATGTCCCACCACAAATGAATGGATCCATAAACTGTGGTAGCTATACACATGGAATATTATGCAGCCATTAGAAAGGACAAAATAATGGCATTTGCAGAGAAATGGATGGAGCTAGAAGAAATCATGTTGAGCAAGGTAAGCCAAGAGCAAAGAGACAAACGCCACATGTTAAATCCAAAATGTAAGGTGATACAACAAAATTAACAAGACTTAAGAAACAAAGGACTTCCACTCATCTGGTCAAATCACTATTAAATAACCCCATGGTGATGATCACATATATAGCATATATGTGCACACCGGAGGGAAACCAGGAGGATGACACAGAACTAGAGGGAATCAGGGAGAAACATAAAAAATTTATTGTGCGGGACCCATCAGCTGCACTGGACATTGATCAAAATGAACTAAGCAACTCAATGGCAGCAATGGAAGGGAGGGAAGAAGTGGGAAAGAGGGAACAGCTGATGCTATGCAAAATAAAAGAAATGTACATATCACCCAATATGGAAGAAATAACTGTATTGCAAAGCTCATAGAACTCATAAATGTTATATAGACCATGATAGACAATTTGCCCCATGAAAGTCAGAATGTGTTTGTGACTTTAACTAAGCATCACTATCCCACAATACTGTGAAATGTGGGAAATTATGTAA